GACAACGCGAATGACCCCCGTTCCTGCCCGAGGTTCGCGGCCAGTTTGGCGGCCGTTTCGGAATTACGGTTGGGCGTTGTTGTTGGCCCTTGGGCCGACGCCTTCGACGCCGCGCCGCGGCGGAACAAAAAGTCCATGCTCCCTGGCGCCCGCCATGCCGCCGCGCAAGAAGAAGGCGGCATGGGCCGACGCGGCGGACCGCGGAAGAGGTTAGAGAGTGCGCGGCAGTGTTCCGCACGACCCTCCGGGGCGGGCGCCGAGCCGCCAGGCTGGCACGGCCCCCTCTCGTCGATCTTGCCATCTGGCGACGAGGGCCGGCAAGAGGTCCGACGAAGACGCGTGGCCTTTGAGGTCGCAGGCGAACTAAAGTTGACGTTCCAGGTCAAAGAGGCCGCAGGAACGAGCATGTTCGGTTGTGGCCGCGTGGTCCTGGCCAACCAGGCTACGCGCCGTGTTTGCGATGAGGGGCGCGGTTTTGTATCGTTCTTCGTTCTGGCCAGCGCGAGTTGTGAGATCGCGTGGTCCCAGATCGCCAATTTTGTCGTCGCGCACGAGTGCGCCGCCTGGGCCACGGGCGGCGAGTGCCCGAGGACACTCATCTCAACATAATCTTAGAATCCGGAACCCTTTTGCGCCCGCGCCGCCGCATGTGCTTCATGTGCCACGGGTGGAAGCAGCGCGGCGATGCGGACTACCGGCCCAGGCCGGAAACCAGATTGGCCGATCCCCAGTATCAGTGGAGAAGATGTGCCGCCGCAGCAGACCAGGTCCATCGAGCGCGCCACGATGCGGAACGCATGGAACACAAGGACGGCCCAGTGTTGCCGAGCGCGCGGCTGTCCTGATGGACGAACGGCTAGGACCCGCAGCTGACTTCACCATCGCCCGCGGCGGAAATATCCAGATCTTGCACGCGCGCCCGCGCTGCAAGACGGCCGCCCCATGCCGAAGCAGCGGGCTCCCTGCGCGGTGCCGACGCGGGCGAACGAGCCAGGGGCACCACGTCGGGAGGGCCACTAGGGGTGTGCGGGCATGAGGCGCGGCCGCAGGTGTTCAGAGCAGGGCGAGGACGCGCGGGGGCACCGCGCCATCATCTCCCCTTCGTGCGCCATCGACGCGAAGGGCGGCGCGCGCACGGCGACGACGAGGCAGGGCGCATCGAGCAGTCCCAGGGGCATGCCCTGGAGGACCAGGCACATGAGCCGCTTCGGCTACGGTGCCCCAGGACAGGAGGGCACCCCGTCAATCCCGGGGGCGGCCGGGCGGGCTCCCATCAGCGACGTCACGCGAGGGGAGCATATAAAATTGGACGGGTTGCTGGAGGAGGAAATTTGCGCAGTCCTGGGTTCTCTCGACTCCTGCAGCGAGGGGTCCGACAATAAGCTTGCCCTGCACGTGCCCGCGCTCTCGGAGGAGGATCGCGGAGGACATGCCCGGGGAGTTCCTTTTTCGTTCCGAATGCGAGGGCGGGCGCCTCTTTCATCATATGTTCACAGTTGACTGCCGCGCATCCCGCGCCCCCTGAGAACTGCCGCATCTTGAGCGGGGCAGAACGGGGCTGGGCGATCGATCGCCAGTCCCTCCCGCGGGCCCGGGGCCCGCGACGGGCCAGGAGAAGGGGCGGCTCGCGCGGGCGCGCGGGCGAGCGCTGGAAGGCGGCCGTGGAGGACCTGGTCGAGCGTGACAGCAAGCGCCGATCAGAGAGTCGGCGGGGCCCCGTTCCGGCGACGGCAGCGGCGGCGCCCTGGGCGACAGATCAGTGGGGGCACAGGCGGCGACGGCGCGCCACTGGACCAGCTGGCGACGTCTCCAGGGCGTCGGCGCCCGCCCGTTCGCGCGCCCCCATCTTCCGCCGCGGGCGGGGGGGGGTGCGCGCAGTGGGTGGCGTGCCCTCGCGGAGGGGGGGGGCCCGCGGGCATTTCGAGGCCGCGCCCCCCCCTCTTCGCCCGCTCGCTGCGGGGTCGGGGCGGAGGGGGGCGCCGCGCTTTTCGCGGCCGCTTGCCGCGCGGGCGGCCCCGGGCCCTGGTGGCCGGCAGGCGCCTTCCCGCGGCGACGGCGCCAGACCGTTCGCGCGCCTTCTCCTTCCACCGCGGGCGGAGAGGAGCTCGGCGGGGGGCGCGCCCACGCGGCGGGGATGCGTCTTGCGGATGGCGGGCGGGTCTTCGGGGCCGCACTTGCCATGCATCTGCCCGGTCGTAGCGCGATCGGGACAGTGAGTCTTCGCGCTTCTGGCGGCCGCTTGCTGACTGAGGCCTCGCTGGCCTCCGACTCGGTCCGCCTGGGCGCGCCTCGCAGGGCGCCCCGCGCGTGGCGCGCCGGTCTACTTCGGCGGCCGCGCCCGCGGGCCGCGCGAGCCGACGGTAGAGAGCCGACGCGGGGACAGCGCGCGGCATTCGAGAGGGATCTCGGCGCTGGCCAGGGCCAGACGACGGGCCATGGCGAGGGCGCCCCCCTTTGGGAAGGCGGGCGCGGGCGCGGGCGGCAGCGGGGCCTTGCGCGACCGCTCGGGGCAGGAGCCCCGCTCGCGCGCCCGCGCGTGGCCCCCCCGCCCTCGGCCCCGCCCGGCCCGCCCTCAGCCGCGCGCGGCGCGGCGCGCGGTGGCGCGGGGGGGTGGGCGAGCCGAAGCAGCTCAAGCCCACGAGGCTTCGGCGCATGCGCCCACTCACCGCTTTGCGACGTCGTCCCGCCCCGGCACCTGTCGGCTTCCCGGCGCAGATGGCCCCGGCGATGGGCGCCCTCGGGGCGACGCAACGAACCCAGAGCTCCTCGACGCGCTCTCCAGCAGGAAACCGCTTGCGAAGTCTAGCCTTGAGGTGGCGGAGCCAGCGGACAACATGGGGCGCGCCCGGGCAGCGCCCGGGCCCGAGCCGAGCAAGCGAACGTCGGCCGCCCTCCTCGCCGAGCGCGCAGAGGACGGGGCCCATTCAAAGCGGCGTCGGGCTTGGAATGGCTTCCGCATGGCGGGCCACAGGAATCGGCGACGCCATGGATCGTCGAGCGCGCTCCACTACTCGCAAGGTGCATTTTCGCAAACTTCTGGAACAAAAAGAGACATGTCTGCTTTGATGTAGGTTATCGTAGACTCCCCGCGGGGGATCCAGGCCATTTGCCAGTAGTCACTTTGCGGGTAGTGGAGCGCGCTCGTCGAATGGAGACGGACGTCGGCGAGGACATCGGGATCCGCGTGGTGGCTGCGGGGCGGAGGGGCGCGTGCCAAGCGTGACTTGGCCGGGCAGCAAAGGGCGCCGCTTGCCGACGAGCGCCCGCCCTCGCCGAGGCGGGGGCGGCCGCCTCTGCGACGGCAGCCCCGCCCAGCGCACCGCGGATGAGATCGCGCAGACAAAGTTGGGACAGCCGCCGCGGCGCCTTGGCACCCTTTCCCAAGACGATATGTTTTATGATGTTCTAACCTACTTTAGCTTGGACCACCAGAAGGAATCTCGAACACCAGAAAAACACCGAAACTCACGGGTTTTCACGAGTTGGGCCCAGGTGCTTCGCCCGACACTGTTTCGATCTTTGATCGACATGTTTCCGGGTGCTTGAAATCATTCCTGGGATGTGGTCTTCAAGTACGATGGGAACAACATGATGATATCTGAGGTAGAAGCGAGGCGCCTAGCAAATAAAGAACGCAACTTGGTTAGGTGCGACGGTTCAGGGAGGAAAAAAGGGAGGACGCTGGCGGCGGCGGCGGCTGTGCACCTCGAGCGGCCGTTCTCCATTCTCTTTCAGGGGCCGCGAGGCGGCAATGCGATTGGCAAGGCGATGTGCTGGGTGGCCAGGAAGCGTGTGGGCCGCGGCCAACCCATGAATATGTTGCGGCTTGGTTGCTGCCCGCGGCAGTCGCGGCCAACGCCGTGACCACCGACGGTTGCCTCCCCTTTCCCTTCCCCTCGCATCGAACGACCCTTCCCAGACCGACCCGTCTGCCATTCGTTGATGCGAGAGCGAACGGCTGATAGTGGGTAAGTGAGGCTAAGAACGGGTCGGAGCAGGGTGGCCGAACTTTGAGGCGGCCACCTCCTTCCTTCCTCGTACCCTTCCTCCTCCCATGTACGCAGCTCCCCGTGTTCCGACTGTGCATCAGACCACGGAATCTGTCTGCCTGAGTTTTTGGGGTCGTTATGCCACGCGTCCGCGGATAGAGAAAACAAAACAGCGCGATGAGAACGGTTGGGGGACAGGGATGGGATGTCAAATGTGGCGCGAGCCTAGCAAGTTTGCCCGCGTTCGCCCCCCCCCCTCTCCCAGGCCTTTTCCGTTGTTGTCGGACCCTCGACCTGGTTCGCGCTCTGGCCCTTCGGCGGCCTTTTTCGTCGCTCTCTGCGGCGCGTCTTTTGTGCGGGTCCGGCCTCGTCGAAACTTGGCCCTCCTTGTTTGCATCCCCCGGTTTCCGAAACCGCGATTTTGTCCAACATTTGGACCTCTTGAGGATTCAAATGAGGACTCCAGGGCCAGCGTTTCTCGGAGTTTGATAGACCTCCTACCCCGACACGTCGATTAGCGAATTGGCAGTTTTCGGTTCGCGAGAGGGCGTCGCGGCCGTCATTTTTGCGGGTCCAGGTCCGTCGGTTTCGGTCCCAGGTTGTTTTCACGAAGTAGAGGTTTATTAAAGGGAGGTTTGTCCACCGCCGAGTTTTATCCCCAACCTTGTTATTGCTACGGTCTTGGACCCCGCTGGGGTGCTCCAGGAGCCCGACAGCACGCCGAGACCATACAAAGATCCGCCGCCATTGCTTGGCAACGCGAGGAGGTCTCGGCCCCCTCGGGGGGCTGCGCTCATGGGTGGGGACTCATCGACCCCCAATCGTTCATTGGTCGCCGATCTGGGCCCGACAGCCCAAGAACAGGCGCGCCCTCTCGGGGGCCTATTGCCGATCTTTCGGCGATATATCGCCGATTCGAGTTCGTAGTTTCTCCCCTGGGGCAGTCCCCCCTTGTCGTTTCTTTCGCCGGGGCCCCACCCCTCGGGGCCTCATCTTTGAACCGCCGACCAGGTACGGCCCGCCGCCGGACGGCGCTCCGCCGCCTGCATACG